AAATGCATCCTAAATTAGTAATATTTAGCATTTCTGTTTTATTTGTTTACTTTTACATACTGAAGGACGGGTACTTTTTTTCTGATTTGCAGCATGTCGCATTTCTTGTTGAGATCTTAAATTGTATTTAACTTGGAATATTCCTTTACATTTTGAATCTAGATTTCAGTACTTGCACACACAGCACACAAAATACAACATATGCTTTTCAGCAGTGATTTCACAGCTTAGCTTTTATCGCATTCAGATTGACGTTAAAGTAATTCACACTAGTAAACAGGCTGACATGGGGCTGACAGAATAAAGGTGTAGAGGTTGATGATTCACTGATTGTTGCTGTGAGATGATGAACTGATACTAAACCTTATCTGTTTATTTCAGAGTGCTACTCATTCATTTCACTCTCACAAACGAGACCGAAAGAGTGAGTTTGACAAGTGACAAGACACAGATAACAAAATTAAAAATAAGTGAGTAAAAATAAATATGTAAAAAACAATACACAACAGACAAAGAGACAGTAAACAGTATATTGTATGTACAAATTTGCAATAGACAAATTATGCAAGGGAATGTATAGACAGTTGGGTATTTCACATGTACTACAATACTGAAGTGCAGATAATTGCCACTATTTGCAACAAGTAGTATACTTGATAGTAGAAATCCTGCTATTTTAACAGTGTAAATAGATATTTGCACTTAGTGTAAATAGCATATTGCTAATAATACTGCTATTTTCACTTAGGGTAAATATAATCCATTGCTAATACCAGATTTGAAAAGGGAAGAAAAAAAAGTTCGGCAAAAGGCGGGATCGAACCCGGGTCGATCGCGTCAAAAAGCCAACGACACGCGCTTATTCATCTGCGCCACTGAAGCTGATGATTTAGAGTCACTTTTAACTAAATGTAAATAGACACTCCGTAGTTTTTATTCCATAGTAAGGGCAATTCATACAATACATTTAAACTGAGCTACTTTAATACCATCTCTGAACTTTCTACCACGACTCTGCTGTTTTTCGGCTGGTTCTTCCTGTATACGTTGATTGACAGATGTCTCGTCCAGTCAGCGGTGAGTAATCCCAAACCAATGGCGCTGTCTCAAACTATACCTACCTCTTCCGGTTTGTCTGATTTGTCGTTGTGTTTTCTGACTTGTTATTTTGTTTTCGAATTTGTCATTGTGTTTCCTGACTTGTTATAATGTTTTCTGAATTGTTGTTGTGTTTTCTGAATTGTTATTTTGTTTTTTAGACTTGCATTTTCGTTTGTAATTTGTTATTTTGTTTTCAGAATTGTGATTTGTTTTGCACTTCTCGTTCACCATACAAATGTGATGCAAATGTCAAAATGTATTAGTTTACAAATCATGCACTATGTTAAAAGTGTCTTAAGGTCAAAATATAGTATTGTGCAAGGAAATGGTGTGAAAATAAGTGTTAATTAATCAATAATCTGTCACGGTAATCATAATTTGTGTTTGTGTAGTTTGTGTAATCATTATCTGCCACTGAAATAATAAATTTGCAATCATACACTAAACCTTACCCTAAACTTAACCGATAGTGTTAACAAAAGCAAATGCGAGATAAAAATGCATTTGCTGAAGCAACTGTGCCACTTTGGCATGCTTCTACAAGACTTTAAACTCTTTTATTGAGTGTTGTGACTCGTGTTTCATGGGACTTGGCACTGTACCGGGTGAGCTAACGAGCAAGTTGACTGTTGGAAAACCAATAAATATGGAGCTGGTCATGTGATGCAAACATTAAAATGTATTTGTTTACAAATCATGCACTATGGTAAGCATGTTTTGAGGTCATAATATAGTATTGTGAAAGGAAACGGTGCAAAAATATGTTTATTAATCAATAATCTGTCCCTGTAATCATAATTTGTGTGAAAAGTAATACGATTTGTTGGTATTTTACTGCCACTAGTGATTATTTCAGCTGGAAACTGCAGTGAATTGGAGGTACGTTTCTGGAGTTTTGCAAAAATGTAGGTAGATAGAGGCTCATCTTTCCAATGAACCTATGTTGGGTTTAGAAAAGAAATAAGGCTCTTGAGGCTGTGCAATGTTTTGAATGTAGTCACAGCTAAAAGGTTTGCAGACTGTGCTGTACATCATGGCTAACAACATCCTTTAGCTGTGACTACATTCATGCATCTTGTTGATGACAGGTGCTATTACTTTTCTGACCGATTTTGCCTGGCAGACAATAAAATGGGTGAACAAAATGTGAGACCTGAGACATATAAAGAGGTGAGAATATCATGGAGGCTTGAAGATGGGCTCTTTTGTCTTGGCTAGTAATCATCCACCTAGCAACCACATAGCAACTTTTTCTTCTTAATTTTACAAATGTAGTTTAATATACAATACGCTTAAAATAATATGGTGTGGGGTTTGCTTTGAAACAGTTTTGACTTAGAAAAATTCACAAATAATTACAAAGAAATGGCAAGTACCAAACTGAACTTTACCAAGACTAAAATCAATTTTTATAGTGTATGCATAGTATGCACAATTTCTGTATGCATGTTAACAGGAATGACATACTAGAGGTTATTTGTCAAAAGTTGCAGTAAGTCATGTTACCTTTTATACTATTTGATACAATACAAATTGTTTCAAAGCTGCTTCACAGTAAAAAGAGGAAAATAACAGAATAAATCATGCAAACTTAATCAAATATGAGATTCTATCATTATTCTTTGTCATTATCAGTGTCATTATTTTGTTCAGTCAGTTCAGTGTGGATTCAGTTCAGTTCAGTAACAGTGCTAATGTTGCAAAATGCATTAATGATAAAATGTTGAGGAGTCCTATGGTTCCCGCAATGCATTAATCTCTTAACTTCCATTTTGTGCCATAAATAAGCCCAAAATGCTGTTTTATACCCTGTACTTCAGAGTATACTGTAAAAATAGCATGCAGTAGAGTATGCATTGTAGTAGAATGCAGTAAGGGGCAGAATAGTATGTGATTTCCAATGACGATCCCAGTATCCCTAAAGCAAATGTATATGTCATTTAGCTTAAGTAAGTGCAGCACCAGATTTTTCTGAGTTTTGATGCACTACACCGGGTGGCATTACATTGCTGTCCATCACACTCAACAGTCAGCTTGTTGACTGCATGTTTCTCAAACCTGACAGCATGTCTCCTCTGGGGCTCGGTTGAGCAGAGAAAAATACGCTTGCCAAAACTCTCAGATGTGTCCATTTCTTTCTAAACCGTGCTGCCTCGCGGGTTGTCCATAAACTTTCGCTGTCATGTTATCCATGAGCTTCTGTTTTTAAAAGCATAAAGACTGCAAACAATAATGATCTGATTTGCGTATAAATGAGATGGGCAAAATAGCATACGTACAAGATTGCCCTGATCCTGCATGTATAAACTGCTTGGATCGGCATCATTCTTCGTAGATGCCCTATACGCCCTGTATTTATAAACTGTCAGCTTCAAAGTGTGCCGGAAAACTCTGGAAAGCTTGTTTTACTCTGCGAGGTTGCCCAGGAGAGATTCACTGTTACATTTCAAACAGTGCAGAAACTGTCAACCAAGTGTTTGCCACAAAGACTTAATTGCTTCATTTTAGACAAACTTTGCGGTGCATGGTTTTGTTCTTAGTTGAAAATGCTTGAAGCACGTACGGGTTTAGAAATGACTCAGACTAGCTTATACAAATTAACATGCATGACAAAAAGTAACAATTTATTTGTGCTTGTAAAGACAAATGTTCTGAATCGTAATTGTGAACAGCTTGCTTTAGAAATAAATCATTATGCATTAAAGTTATGCATATTTCATAATTTTATAGATGCAAACCAAAATCACTGTTCAAAGAAAAGAGCCTTGCTTTGGTAAATCAATGATGTTTAACCACTTGGAAAGACAAGGAATATGAAATTGCATTTTTGCTAGTAAATGTATGCTAGTCCAATTTCTTCACAATGAAAACAATAGAAGAGAAAACAACAGAAAGAGGAAAATGGCATAATTTTGTGTCATTACAGTTGCTGTGATCAGTGCACCATCAAAGATGATTAGTCTTCTTTATAAGAATGTGTTCAGGAATCTTCAGCGCATGGAGTGGAGTGCTGCATTATGTGATTATGATGTGTAAATGGCTTCTCACTTAATTTTATTCTCTTGTTGGTTTTGAGTTTGTGTCATGTCTCTGTTAAAGCAAGTCACTTCACTCTGTAGTCGTTAAATGTTTGCTTGGTTATGTCGAAGCTCTTTTGAATTTCTTCTAGATCATCAGAATAGCTTGGGAGTCGATCTCAGTTGTTGTTTTATTTCAAAGAGGCTAACATACAAAATTGCTTACCAGCAAATAAAATATCCAAAGAAACAGCATTGTAAAAATACACCAAATTCTTAATATTTTAATGTAAAAATCTCTTATAATATAACACTAGAGATTAATATTGTAATCTCTTAATAGAACAATATTTTAATCTTTTAATAAAACAATAGCGACTAATATTTTAATTTTTTTGTAGAACAATAGCGACTAATTTTAATCTCTTAACAGAGAAAAAACGACTACTGTTTTGATCCCTTAATAGAACAATAGTGGCTAATATTTTAATCTCTTAATAGAACAATAATAAGTAATATTTTAATCTCTTAATCTTAATCTCTAATGTGAATTACTGTGTACAAGCCTTTTTCTTCTGTAATGTGAATAACTGTATTTCCTATGAAACAGATATTCAACAAGAGAAAATGAGGAATATAACCTAATTTTATTTATTAGGATTTTAATGAATTGTGAAAAGTTTACGTTCCATGCCAGAATGAAGCCAGACAAATTGTGAGATTGCTGAAACCACGTTTAAATAACGGTTTTGTCACAGGGTCTAGTTGGTGTGCCCTTTATAGCCACCAGAGGGACACTTTGTAGTTTTGTTTTGTTTCTCTGGACTTCAGTTCCCATCACCATTTGATTTGACAATCATGTCTCATTTCATTCAGCTGTGTCTCATTTACCTTGTTAACATCCTCCATATAAGCCTGGTTTTCTTTGTTTTGTTTGCTGGTTGATTAATTTCTGTTATGTGTTTTCTGATGCTCGGTTTTGCCCTGATTTGGATTTACTCTGTTTTTGGATTTTCCAATAAATGCTGCACTTGGATCTGCTTGTTTTGGAGTGTTCCGTGATAGAATCAACCAGCCATGTACAGATCCAGCAGCATTAGGGAGAGGACTCTATTTCCGGAGAAGCAAGCTGGGCTTCAAGGGCTGGAGAAGCTTCGTCGGAGGGGAATGGAGTTACGGACCTTTGTCCAAAGATTCTGGACCGGGGCGGAGAGGCTGGGTGTTCAAGGTATGGATATTTTTAATCGTTGTCTAGATGAATCCCTATTGCCGTGGGAGATGGAACTGGTGAAGTGTCTAGACTTCTGGAGCTTCTCCAGATATTTGCAGCTCCGGAAGGAGGGTAAAGTTAATCACCATAACCAGAGTCCTTCTGCAGGGACCGTCCCACCCATACCTCACTCATCTAATCAAGCCCAGAACCAGTCATCTATTCCCATACTTAAGCGGAGGAAGAGAAGGAGGAGGGCAGCAAAGTCTACTTCGGTGATCTCAAGTCAGGTGGTCCTGGAGGAGCCGACTCTGGTGGTCTCGAATCCGGTGGTCCTGGAGGAGCCAACTCTGGTGGTCTCGAATCCGGTGGTGCTGGAGGACCTGACTCTGATGGTCTCGAGTCAGGTGGTCCTGGAGGACCCGACTCTGGTGGTCTCAAGTCCGGTGGTCCTGGAGGACCCGACCCTGGTGGTCCCAGAAGTTACTGAACAGTCCACTCTTTCTGTCTCTCCCAGGATCCTTGACCTGCCGGCCCCACCTAAGCTCTCTGTTTTGCCGGTCCCATGTAAGCTTCCGGCTTTGTTGGCCCAGGAGCCTGCTTCAGAGTCCACTCCAGAACCCGCTCCAGTCTGTGAGCCCTCCGAGTCAACTCTAGAATCCAGTCTGTGAGCCCTCAGAATCCACTCAAGAGCCCGCTCCAGTCTGTAAACCCTCAGAGTCCACTCTAGAATCCACTCCAGTCCAGGAACCTTCAGAATCCAATCCAGAGCCCGCTCCAGTCCTACTATCTGAGCTGCTAGGAGGTTAATCGGCCCTGTTAGTTCAGTTGAGGTGGTCATCAGCTCCGCCTTTGCGGTCTGCCAAGCTCCTGGTTCTGCCCTGGTCGCCTGCCGGGGTTGTTGTTCGTCCAGAGCCTCGCTGGTCTGTCCCTCTGGCTCCCCCCGGCCACCTGCTCTGCCGGCCCCGCCTTGGCCTCCTGCCTTGCCGGCTCCGCCCTGGCCCTCTGGCCTACCTCTGTTTCTGGGCCTCTACTTGGACCTGGCCCGCCATCCCTCCCCCAGTCCCACCTCCCTCCTGGATTTCATTGACTTTTTGTGGAGCATCTTGAATCCGCTCCGTAGAGGGGGGGGGTAATGTCACAGGGTCTAGTTGGTGTGCCCTTTATAGCCACCAGAGGGCACACTTTGTAGTTTTGTTCTGTTTCTCTGGATTTCAGTTCCCATCACCCTTTGCTTTGACATTCAGGTCTCATTTCATTCAGCTTTGTCTCATTTACCTTAACATCCTCCATGTAAGCCTGGTTTTCTTTGTCTTGTTTGCTGGTTGATTATTTTCTGTTATGTGTTTTCTGATGCTCTGTTTTGCCCTGATTTGGATTTACTGTTTGTTTTTGGATTTTCCAATAAGTGCTGCACTTGGATCTGCTCGTTTTGGAGTGTTCCGTGACCGGTTTGGCTATTTTATGGTATAATTACCTGCATGATTATACGTCAACAGGAAAGCAGGGTTGTTTCTGAGGCAGTGCACATTATTTATTTAGATAAATTCTTTTATAAAAAAAACCCCCGGCACTGATGAATATTTCACAATAAGTCCAGGATTGTGCATAAAGTACGTTGCATAATTATTTGTTGATGTACACTTTATCTATATATCTATCTCTCTATCTTTTTGAAGTTGTAAATAAAACTAACGTTTATTGGAGTAAATCTCTTTCAGTCTTTCTAATTCAAAATGGCATGATTTATTCAATGTGTTACTAGTCGTTTTTTTTTTTTTCTTTTTCCTTTATTTCTTTGGGAAAAAACATTGGTGACACTTTGGTGTTCATTCAGAAATTGATTGAATTAAATGTGACATTTTGAAGTAGAAATACTGAAATAGTATTTTCTCTTAAAACATACTCCAGTAACTTAAAATAATTTGTTTACAGTGTAGTGTCAGTTTTGATTTCTTGTTGACTTACAAATTGTTGTGGCAATGAAATAACTGCACACATTCATCACCGATTCGAGTAAAACCTGTATGAATCAACTGAGCAGCAGTATGTAAAATAGCAATGTAAAAATGTGAACATCTGCTCTATATGAATCTTAAACCGCTGTATTCTGTTAACCTGGAAAATACCTTACACTTAAATCCCCACAGCGTCCCTCTCCGAGTAATTAACACTGAAAGGTCATCTCAGAAAACGGATCTAAGAACACTTGGGGTAATTTTCAGATGTTCTTGTGAAATATGTCATTAGTCAATCTCCTGCCTCGTTTGGCTGTTATCGCCACTTTTCTTAATCAAGCAATTGTCCTCTTTCAGACTGAAAAGAAACTTTTACGAAAAGTAATTTGTATTGCAAAATTGTCACTTGTGCTTGTGCACAAGTTGGCATCGTGATGCTACAGCACTATAAAACAACTTCCCAGACATTTTGAGTGAATTATATTAAACTACATATAAAAAAAAAATGTTAGACCAACAGATATCTGTAATACTTAAGAGAACACTATTCACTGTTTACAAGTTGCCTAGCATGCATATTTGTGGTTTATTAGTATTTATAAAGCACATATGTCTTTAAAACAGCAGCAGGATTTGAACTGTCCTTCATGTCTTATCTTTACTTTCCATCCCGAGTTTAGTAGGGAAACACAATTGACCAGATACCTTATATTTCATTTATTAAAATTACAAAATATTTTGAATAAGTAAAATACTATTTTTGGTTAATGCACCATCTAATGCTAGAATCCCTAAGAAGCCATGCATATCTTTTTCTTTTTTTTTTCCTGTTTTTTCTCATTAAAGATTTCTTAATTTTTTTGATGTCTTAAAAGATTTCTTATGATTGAGTTTGACACTAAATTATAATGTTGTTCAAGTATTAATGAGCAATAGCACCACCAATTATGACTTATTGGCTTTTTGGTTGGTTAATTTATACATTTATTTAGGTAATAGTGGCTATATTTTATGTCAAATAGTTGAAATCTTTTGTTTGGTGTTTTCAATTCAAAGGTCACGTCTTCTGGGGAATTAAATTATTAGGACTATTGATTATTTCATCACGGAGGCAGCCATCATGTGTAAACATACCTGGCAATAAAGCTCATTCTGATTCTGATTCTGATTCTGACTTTCCTCTTTTATTTTGGCTACTCACATTATGAGAATAGAGAAGTGCCCACACACACACACACACACACACACACACACACACACAGACAGGAGCTTTGTTGTTTTGATGACAAATGACTAGGCTGTCCCCCAGTGAATGAATTAAGGTGAGACTTTAACCAGCTTTTAATGAGACTGTTGCCTTGATCGTGTGTGTGTGTCTGTGTGTGTGTGTGTGTGTGTGTGTGTGTGTGTGTGTGTGTGTGTGTGTGTGTGTGTGTGTTTGGTTTGCATGTGAGAAGGAAAAGGAGAGAGCAAGACTGATGACCTTTAAAAACATTTTACTTTAATGTTAAAGCTGTCACTTCTGCAGCTAATACACAGTAGATGCATATAAAATCAGATGGCTAGATAGATAGATAGCAATAATACATATAGAAAAAAACTAAATGTTAACAGTAGTTTTTGTTATTTGAAATAGAGCTGAAATAAAATATAAAAATTGAAAGCCCGATGAAAAGCTTAAACTTAGATATACTTTCTTTTTAAGTTAAATGTTGCACTGGCAGTGGAATAAATTTTAAGTTAAAGTACAGAACTTAAAATAAAACTGAAATAAATGACCCCCCCCACCCCCATTTCCTAAGACTTATAAAATACTGTAATAGAATAGAAATAATACTAAAATAA